TGTTATCTTCACTGCTGAGTGTAGCAGTTTCCTTCTTTGCCCATTCTGTCACATGGCCAGCTTTTTGAGACACGCTGTTTTAGTTCCCGATTCTCACGACACGTGGCGTATCAATCTTGAGCAACCTAGAGCCGTTTATAGTGAGAGAGTTTGGCCTTCTTAAATATATTTTGACAGCCTGGCAAACAGTGCAGCGTAGTCTGACAACCGAGGGATGACTACTTCCGTCCGCCATTTTGGGGCTCTGACTCACAGGAACTCTATGCGATTTCTCCGAAATAAGGAAGACAAAGAAGCAACAACATCTTGTGTTATCGCGCACTCCGCTCGTTCTAGCGGGCAACAAGCTCCGCCCATTGGCCAAACTCTCTCAGTATAAACGGCTCTGGAGCAACCACTCGATGTGCGTCTGTCATAGGGTGAAAACACCCATTGTTGTATTGAAAACTGCCTGCGCGTGCCGAAGGGGCCTTAAAATGGCGCCAAAGAACCGGGCAGAGCTAAGCGCTCGCTCCGACCGAGATCGAAGCGCGTGCATTCTGGGCATAGAAATGGCCGAGATGCCGCCACCCTAAGACAGACGTGGCGAAAGTGAATGAAGACTCCCTAGAGCAACCTAAAGCCCCTTCATGTTTTAAAAGTAGCGCAAGGTGCGTCGATGCACGAGGCACGTGCAACGTGCAGCCCTTGGGAAGATCACGACGGCACAGCGCAGCACTGAGCTAGATTTTAGACGCCACGTTCTTCCCAGAAGTGGCGCGTGGCACGTGTCTCGTTGGTTATTTTTATTTATCGTTTTTAGAGCGCAGCTCTTAGGGGCCCGTTTCCGGCTTGAGCGGCGTCGCCGTCGGCGTCGAGTCGGCGTAACCGCGAGGTCACGTGACCCCCCCCCCTCCCGAGGTCATGTGACCGCCCAGGCCACGTGACCCCCCCCCCAGGTCACGTGACCGCCTGAGGTCACGTGACCCCCCCCCCCCCCCGAGGTTACGTGACCCCCTGAGGTCAGGTGACCTACCTGAGGTCACGTGATCCCTGAAGTCACGTGATTCCCTGAGGTCACGTGACCCCCTCCCTCGACGTCACGTGACCCCCTGATGTCACACGACCCCCCCCCCCCCTTGAGGTCACGCGACCTCAAGGAGTCACCTATCCCTCAGTACGCTTCCATCCTCCTCCTCAAGAGCTGCGCTCTAACCGGCCTTACAGGGAATTAGACGGCTTTCATTTTTTTATTATTATTATGTGTCATACGATATTTCTCAAAATCTCCATGCCAACACCCATTTCTGCGGTTATCGCCCAAGAGGCATTATTTGAGTGGTGACATCTCAGCCATTTTTCCGCCCAATCATTTTTTATGCATTTCGAAGCGCGCGCCATCTGGTGTCTTTCAGCTCGAGCACGCAGCTTTGGCTAATGCATAGACGCCATTTTACCGCCCAAGTCACGCACCGAGTGTGCGAGAGCGTCACGCGCTGGCACATTCAGGGCAACAATAGTTGTCTTAACCCTCACACAGACAGACATGTAGGCACCCTATAGAGCAAGATAAACGAAGAATCCAAGGCGCGCGACCGCCTTTTTCTGAACCTCCTCTCTGTGCATCTCTCCGGCTTCCCACCCTTCTCACCGTTTGAGTCTGGCCAAATACTTTACTGTGCTTCGTTTCAGCCTCGGTCCGAGCGCGGCCGATGTTATGAGCTGAAGGGCCAATCAAACGGCGAAAGAGGAACAGCCTCATGGCGTGCTCTCTGCAGTTGATAGGACCAGCCGGTATTCGCTGTCTCTCTGTGCGTGCTCCTCCGCCGGCTAGTCCTATCAAACGCAGAGAGCACGCCATGACGTTGCGCTTTTTGCGCTGTTTGATTGGCCTCTCGGCTCATAACAACGGCCGCGCTCGGACCTAAGGTGAAAGGAAGTATAGGGGGAATACATTCCCACTCCGCTCATTTGCATTGGGCAGAACGCCTACAGCGCCGAATCCAGCACTGAACGGCAACCGTCACCAGATTTAAACAGCTGTCATATTCTAACAGTGAAACACAAAGTAACGACAAACAGTCATGGCAAGTAACGACACCGGTATTTCGTTACATCTCCCAAAGGGTAACGGAGCGCGGTAACGCGTTGGCTTTTTTCCAAGCTAACGAGTAACGCTAATTCGTTACTTATTTTCGGTAACGGGCCCAGCACCGTTCTTGTGGAAGGAAACTCGGACTTCGCACTGATGCGTCGCGGGCATCTCGTGCCAGTCTCGTACGCTTACGTCCGGGCGCAGCGGATGCTACGAGCACTCGGAGCCAATCCAAGGCCGTGTGGGTATCACGTGACCTTGGAGAGGGGTCACAGCGACGCGCGGAAAGCGTATCACACGGGCTCCCTCTACAGAGCGGGATTGGCTAGGATGGCTCGTAGCGTCCGCTGCGTCAGGACGTAAGGGGAAACGAACTATGGTCCCGCTTTTGTACCGTCTCTTCCCTTCTTATTTCTCGGTTTCCCAGATGGCGAAGTTGCGTTTGACTGCGTTTGACTGCGTTGCGGCTGCGAGACACCAGGACATCCCTGCTGCTTAAATCGCGTGCCAAGATGATTCCTTGAATTGGATTCCACGCTTCAATGAGAATGAATTCTGCATTCTAAGGAAAGGGTGCAAAAGGAAGGCGTAGCGACGCTCGTGCCAGGAATGCCGAGAATGGACGTCAGCGGCCACTGCGTCCTTCATAAAACACCCCTGCATACGACAATTTTATCAATAAATCAAAATGCACGTTTTTTTGTTTTTTTTTTGTTTTTTTTTTAGTATGCGCTTTTACGTGAGTTTTTAGTATTGGATCCCACAACAAAGGCATTATTTTGCTGGCCCGTCCTAGAGAGATTTGGAACAGCTTCTCTGTTTCCACTTCCCATACGAACGCTTCATCGAATAATTGCAAAGCGCCGCTTTGCATGTCACCTTCTCTTTTTTTTTTTTTTTTTTTTTTTTTTTTTTTTGTTTATTATGCATATCAGTCTGGGGAGGCTACTAAAAGATCAGACTCTGTATATCCGTCTTCCACGCGTCTGCACGGTGTTGAGCGATACGTGGTTTAAAATTTCTGGTGCGCGTTTAATTATTGTTTCGGTGTGTTGAGAACAGCTGCCTAGGGGAGCGTGTGTATCACAATGTTAGACCAACCATCCATATTATGCATACCGGTATGTGGTTGTTCCTTTTGTCTAGGTTTGCTTTGTTCTCGGTGTTTTGGTGCATACTTGATTGTTACCGCTTTATGAGTGCGCCCCCCGTCTCACTTTCTTCGTTCGTAAGTTTCAATATTTTCTGAGATCACCTTAAAAATGTTTTACACTAAAAGAGATATAGTTAGCCACAGGTTAAGACTAAAGTGAAAGCCTCCTCCCACATCCCCTCTCCCCTTTGGCAGAATGAACGCTGGAGAGCAGGGGCGGATTTATGGGTCAGGTTCGGGGGGAGCTTCTATTTTATTGATAACCTGTCATCGACTGCAAAATAATTCATTATTGTTTCGAAACAAATAATAAAAAAAAGCTAAATTATAAGCCTATGCTTTATTTGTAATCAATAAGAAATACATAAAAACTTAAAGTTTTGTTTCGAACGTTTCCCTAACGTGTAACTACAGATTGTATTTCATATTGTCGTCTCCTCTGTTACCTCAGAAGACAGGGTGCGACTAGAATTTATAAATATTGATCGTGAGATAACCAGTTCTGGTATGCGTTTGCATCGCAAAGAGAAAGCTTTAACAATCGCTGACGGTTCTTCGAAATAATGGAAACGTTTCTATGCTGGCAGAATCGTCTAATATATTCAGTCTAATATACAGGGTGTCACAAATGAAAAATTACACGGTCTTTTTCACCGCAAAAATAAACTAGGCATCGCCGAACGCTCATTCTCCGCCCAAAGGCAGAGCTAGAGGTCACAACCAGATGCCAAAGTTTCTACCCGATCCGATAACTTAATCAAAAGTTATAAGTGATTTTCTGAAAATTTCAATGGGAAAATGGAGCCCATTTTTAACCGTTTTCGGTTTCTGGTGCCATAGAGCCCCATGTGTTTGAAAACTCCGTCGGCCGCCATTTTCCCATTGAAATTTTCAGAAAATCATTTGTAACTTTTGATTAAGTTATCGGATCGGGCTGAAACTTTGGCATCAGGTTGTGACCCCTAGCGCTACCTTTGGGCGGAGAATGAGCGTTCGGCGATGCCTAGTTTATTTTTGCGGAAAAAAGACTGTGCAAATTTTCTTTTGCGACACCCTGCATATCCGTTACGGAGATTCACTGCGGCACCACAGTATTGATACCGTGATTCATATTTTCTGACGTTGCTTTTTGCTTTACTTCTTTAAAAAGAAATTGCGCATTCTTGAATATATGTTTCACCTGTCATATGTTGAATGTAGTCTCAGAAACTGAGTTGAGTACCACGCATACATCTCTCACCGTGCAAAAAAAAAAAAGAAAGAAACATTGTAGAAAATGACGTATATACAGAAAAGAAATTGCCTCCTCGTGCCGCGCCACTGCCCCTCACCCCACCCATTTCAAGGCCCCTGAAAATTCAGACAACCCACCCTAATTTTAATTCCTGGGGAAACTCCTAGTTCACAGGGCATCAATGTCCCCGCCAAATGCAAAGGGGAACCTGAATTGGTGAGTTGATCACGTGACGAACTTTCCCATTGCGTGACGAACAGATTGTAGACCACGTAATCTAAAGACCGTGGTAGTACAACGTAGCGTAAAAGGGGTGTCGCTAAAACATCGTCTCGAAACCTGTTTCGACGAAACGATGCGGGCCCGTCACGTGCCGCGCTCCAGTCGGCTCGCTTGGGCCGTAGCAAGTCTGACACCAATATCAAACTTGTTTCCAAACTACTTTTTTTTTTTTTTTTTTTTTTAGTGCAGTAAGGTTACAGTGTACTAGAATGTAAGGCGGGAGGACTATAACTGTAACAAGAACTGAATTTACTTACCCATTGTTGGACTGGAATCGGAAGCGAAATTCCCTTGAAAGCAAAACCAAAATGGGTATCAGACGTTTAGTGCGTAATACGACAACACAGCAAAAACAAGAACCGAGCTAAAATGTCCATAATGTTAAAACAACAGCAACAATCACGAAAACCGAATTTCGTTTGATAATATATTTCATCGTATTTAGCCGAAACCATTTCGCACGCTGGTAACCATGAGCTCTAGCCAACGAGCTCGTTTAAGCAGGTTTAAGTCAAATCCAATCCAGCCAGTAAGACAATCGAATCCCGCTTACATTTTTTCAGTGGTCGATTCACGCGGGCGACGTACTTTTTTTAACCAGTACGATATCGATCATCATCAAACGTCCCGCAACACTTTTGCGGGCGCTAAACGCCACAGTCCGCGCAACCAAACAAGCACCATGGAGAACAACCTACGCGAAGTAGTAGCTCGACTCACCAACCAGTCGTCGGACACCGTACGCCCAGCGTGCAAGAAGTGCGGCTACCCGGGCCACTTCACCTACCAGTGCCGCAACTTTCTCAAGGTAAACCCAAACAAAGACATTGTTCTCGACGTGAGCAGTACCAGTTCCGAAGAGGAAAGCGACGGGGAATTTGTGTCGCCGCTCACACAACTCAACCTCGCGCAACAGCGAGCCGCCGCTGTAGTGGCCGCTTCGTCGTCGGCAGGTGTCGCCGCCGTTGCGCCGAAAAAAGAGCGCGAAAGCCGGAAAAAGTCGGCCGGTCACAAGAAGAAGCGGAAAAAACACAAATCACGGTCAGAGTCGCCGTCCGCGCGTCGAGAAGAGAGCAGAGAGCGGAAGAGGCGTGGAGAGGGCTCCACGAAGCACGAGAAACGCGACCCGGAGAAGAAACGCCACAAGCACTCCCACAAGAAGCACAAGTCGAGGGAACGCTCAAGGTCACGAAGCTGAGAGATGAGTTCACACAAAACTTACATCGCTCGGTTCGAGTGGTCATCTATTCACCGCATTACCGATCCCGTTTTTCGCCTTGTTGCGTTGCACTGTACATGGCTTGCACGTGAGCTGATTGCCTCGACGTCACATTGGCGGCCATTGTGGAGGACCTTGCTGTCGCGACCTTTTGCAGCGCATATTTTCCACCGCTGAATTTTCTTTTCTTGGCAAGAAGCATAAATGATTATTCGCAAGATGTAATGACATCACTTGCAATCCATGCATGTGTATCTTGCCATTTCGCGAGCTTCTAAACTGGATCAAGCACATTTCTATCTGCCAAGTGCTTGTTCCTTGAAGTACAAAGTCCATAATACACATAATACTTTGTTAATATTTTAATCACTGCTCACCATACTCCAGAAAGCATAGACTCTGAGAGAACTCTGAAGTGCATGGTGATGATGACCCCTGGTGGCGATCTGTGAGGACCGTTTTATTATTTGCTGTATTTTTACTTTTAGAAATCAAACATGGACTAGGAACCTACGATTTGCAACAGTCAGTGCACCATTCTTCTGTGCAGCAGTGTGGCCTATATGAAGCCGCTTGTCATGCATTCTTCTACCTGGAAACTTTTGTAAAGTGTCTTTTACGTCGTTGGTTTCCGGCCCAGCAAAACCCGTTTTTGCGATAAAGTCAAAAATAAGGATCATTTTTGTTTTCGCTGTTGAAATATGTACATATTTTGGGGCGGAGCTGTGCATATGCGAGCACCAATCGAAGTTGGGGGCTGCTTGCACAGTCTAGGCCAGGGGTCTCAAACACACCCACAGGTAACGGCTGCAATCCTGTTCCATGTTGTGAGCTCTTGAAATGGCATTCAGCTTAATCTCCTCTCACCAATTTATTCCCGCTTGGAAGGTAGCTCTAAGCTTATAACGTATCCATATAGTTTAGACTACTTTGTTTTGATTTGCCTTTTGTTTCATTTTAATTATTGCTTCCCAGCTTTTTGTCATGTTAATCACATGATGACAGTTGCTCTGCTAGGCTCAAAGTGCCAGCTCTTCGCACAAGGACACACCGACTGCACAAACTATCCCTAGCAGCAGCAACTGCTAGAGATAAAGCTACGAGCTCGAGATTCTCACCTTGAAAATTAAAGGGACCATGAAATGACCTTTTTACTTTTTCCAGATAACTTTTACATTAAACCGTCAATGTTCACTGAATGCCGAACAGGCATCCGTTTTCGTCTCGGTTTATTAACTTTTACACAAAAAATTATTGAAATATCGACTTTTTCATTCTCTCCAACTGACCGCAAAAGAAGCCGTGACGTAAACCGTTTCCGGAACCGGAAGTTCTCTCGGCAGTAGGAGAATGGGAGTGTTAGCGGCAACGAGTTGGGGTGCGCCGGTAGGTTTTACTGCGCTGATGTCACCGACGTATTTCCTGAATCGGCGCCTCTCATCGCCGCATCGCAGCTGAGCGAAATTCAATGAGATATGTTGCGCTACAGCGACAGCATGGGACTAGTCCCATACGCCGGTATGCCTGTTGGGAAGTGCAGCGAGTCTTGTCACCACCCCGTCATTGTTGGCAGAAGGGCCGGCCCGTGTCAGTCGTTTGCAAAGCGACGTAGATGGCGTTTTTCGCGGCCTCGGAGATGCAGGAGCGAGCCGACGTTAAAAAAGATACGTTTGAACTACGAGTGTCAGCAAGAGCCACGTAAATACCTGTTTACACTCGGAGCGGACGCGCGCGCTTGATGGAAGTCTTGTATTCGCGCTGTTGGTAAGCGCTTCGGGACCGTTCTTTTACGATTGCAACTCGATACTGACGCGACACTCGGCAAAGAAAGGTTGGACCGGGGTCGACAGTGACGTGCAGTCTGTCAGAATAAAAATGGCATACCAATAACAAAGTGTACATACCGTGTTACGAAGGCAATCCATACGGCGTTTATTTCAGCTCTATATCACACAAAACAAGAAGATAGAATCGACGAGAGTCCCTTTTCGACGAGTGTTCGTCAACACTGCCTCGGAAAACAAGGGGAAGAGATTGACCTCCTCACCTCTTAATCTAGAATTGAGGTCAGTGATCAAACTATAATACGGGAAGGGTCCACAAGGGTCGCGCGGGCATATTCCATTTAGCACGCCAGCCGGTCGTAGGCAGACGGTCTTGCGACGAAGCAACGCAGCGCCGAGTCGGAATGCCTGCTAGGCCTATACGCTTCGTCGGAGTCGGTGAACCCAGCGTTCTTGTTCGTCGTGGTCTGTTTTCAGTACTGTTTTCTTGCTGCTTGAAGTCGGCACGCGCGGGAAGAACACGTAGAAAAATAAACGTTCAGTCAGTCAGAGTTTTGAGAGGAAGGAAAACAAAGAAAATAAATGTTCGTCGGTCGCCGTCACCCCCGTCACCCAAGTAACTGGCGGCCCTGCCCTACTGCGCACGCGCAGTAGTTGCTTCGTTTACCACACGATAGATGGCGCTTGGCTCTCAGCATTATCAAATTTGGCAATTTTCGCCACACATCTCTAATTATGCTACAAAATGTGGATCTGAATATTATTTAACAAAACTTTTAGGAAACATTCGCCGGCTATTTATTGTTTACGATCGCGGTGCTGGTGAGGTAGGCTCTTAGGGCTCTTACCCAATAGGCGATGTGGATTCGGCTGACGTGCACCGATTCTGCGTATGCATCGTAGTGAACAGGCGAAGGAAGGAAGGCGCAAAAGAGTCCAGTTTTCTTTTAAAAGTTCTATAGCAAATAATTTTTTTAGGCTCCCTATTTTTGTGTTTTTGTGTTTCTTTTCACACCTTTTACGACGTGCGGTGGATGAAACTCGATTTTAAAATCATTTCATGGTCCCTTTAAGTAGAAATTTTCTTGCACTACTGCTATAAAAATGATTAGAAAAACAAAACAAAAATATTGTAAAGAAGTTTTTTTGTTTTTTTTCCTTGAGACATGTTTTGTTTGATTAATTCCAAAGTCAAGTGTGCAACAGGACAGACAGTGCACTTCCTCGTGTTGTATTAAAAAAATGTGAGCACTGTCATTACTGGCAAAATTGCGAGTTTACAAAAAGCAGAGAGCATGAGGTCCCTTCTCTATTAAATCTTTCCCTCGCCTTATGTTGACCCTTGGCCTTTCACGGTTGGGCTATCTGGCCCCCACACACAAATTAGTTGAGACCCCTGGTCTAGACCATAACAATGATGTTTCATTTTAGACCACTACAAGAGTGTCTCAGTTTTCATACTTTCACTGCTCAAGCCACAAGAGCAACGGTGCGTCGCATATAACAAATGAAAGCAGTAAGGGTCATTCAGATGCACCGAATGCTTTATTGCACAGATCCACATTGTACCACAGAAGCACTGACATATTTACAGTCTCAGAACAATCGCTATCAGAGAAGTATGAATGCTCGACATGGGGCATTTGAACGGGGCACCAATATTAGTCTTTCGCATTGTCCTTCAGGTGGGATCAAGTAACGACGGAGCGTTTTTGTGCAGCAAATTCCTGATGCCAGGTCATTCATTTGGTGAACCATCGCAAAAAATTCCGCATTACCTTTCAAAAGTAGGAAGCATTACTTCCTGCATCATTTTTGGCCAAGCAACAGAAAGGGTGCACCAATGTGGTCTCTCTAACACGTCCTGATCCATTAGAACGAGAGGGAAAGATCAGAAGTATTGCCTCGCTGTCCTATTAGTCTCATATTTGATGGACATTGAATATGGAAGGCAGATTTGAAGAAAGTCATTTATCAGCAGACAGACGAGCATAGTATAACAACTGTTATTAGTCTAATGAATTGCTTTGATCCTTTGATAAGGCTCAAAGCAATTCTTGTTCTTGGTAGTCACAGGTTCGTTTCGATATGTTGTATTTTCAGGTGGGCAGTGTCACAATTCCACTATCGTGGCATAGGCTACAGGAGAAATGCATAATCCCTAATTGCATTTAGCAGTAACACAACCTTAGTCACCATCAAAATCGGAAAAAGCGGCACTACAGCTGAGACTGTTCTTTAGATCACAACTTGAATACTGGAGTAGGAGTTTGTATTTCTTAAAGTTAAAATTACGAGAGACTACTGACAAGGTTGGCGTTATTGGCCAGTAAGCTTTCCTATAGTTCTAATCGACCTATCCAGGGACTTGGACGCCACGCCAAAGCTGCGATAGCGTTGCACCGGACCTCTGATCCCGGTGTAATCCCTCGCTTAAATAAACGCCTTAACAACGACAACTAATCGACCTTGAGCTTATCTTGAACCAACTGCATCACCAGCAGTTTCAGCCGTCGTGCAAGGATGAGAGTTGGACATTTGCGAGATCGGGTCCTCCTTCCGGTTATAAGTTACAATGCTAAGCACGCAACAACTAGGTGACATCGTCACAAACAAACATTGGCATTAGGCACCAATGCCACAAAGGCTTGTACATGGTTGCCTACACCGAGTGCCAGGCTGATTGTCGGACTCAACTATAATCGCCGACAGGATTCGGCCGTCGGGGAGGAGTTTCGGTTGTCCCGCCTTCAGTGCGAGCTTCTTACTTTCAGAGGCGCTTCGGCATCGCTTAAACATCGAGCGTGCAGGCACTGCCAAAAATGACGCGAGGCAACGACCGTGAGCTGGGGGTCGGGCATCGGAAAGAGACGCCCCGTCGTCCGCATCCTGTCGGCAACTACAAAGGCATGCAGGATCACTAACGGTCACGTAAGCACGGGTGTGTATAGTATACCTGAGGCGTATGCAGATTTGATTGTCATTTGCAGCCAAGGCCTCTATTTACACGCTGTAACGACCACCGGTGCGAAACAGTAACCGTTGCAACTTGTAACATCCAATAGAATTTCCACGGTCACAACAGCATTGCAACATTTATAACGACTAGGACGATGCGTTCACGTTGACTATACTGTGCCAACAAAAACTGCAGTATAGGTATTGCGAACATCGTCTACAATCTAAGACAAGCGCTACAAACTACTGGGTAGTCGAAGGCTCCGCAACCGAATACTAGCAGTATTGAGTTCTCACGAAACGACGACAACGACCGCTGCGGTTGAATAGGTTGTAAATAATGCCACAACAGCTTGCACAAGTTTTTCGTCGAGCTTGACATCACTGAAACGGTGAAACGGAGCGTAAAGTATGTAGCCTGGGACTTGCACATGGCACATATTTTATACACAAGTATTTTGCTCTTGCCCCAGGGACAAAAAAAAAAAAAAATCTGATGAGTGCCAAATTTGCCTTTTTATCCCAAAATATTGCTGCACTTTAAAGCACTTGCTATGGTGACAATTTTGCTCGCCATGTTTGTTTCCAAGTTAAAACTTGGCAGGTTTTGTTTAACCTTGGATCGTAGCGTACACTTCTGATATCCTTTTGTCTCTGGAACCGTGGAGCTGTGCTTTGGTAACTGGTGCATGCTAATGCTCGAAGGAATGTAGTACCTCAGATATTGTGTCGTAAAGCTTGCACCTAAGATTAGCATTTAGCATGGTCGGAGGAAAAATAGCGGGGATCTGTAAATTGCCCCGAAAAATTTGCACGAGCCATGACACATATCTATAGAAAGCTAGAAGCAGCAAGGTAACGCTGCCACGAGAGGTCATTAACGCGAAGCGGGTAGACATGGAGACTCTAATGCCATCGTATCGAGATCACTGTGTTAAGTCTCTGCCGTTTTATCCGGGTCCTCGCCATTTCCTGATTAAGTAAGATGGCTCAAGAGCCACAGGCGAAGTTCCGAAATGCCACACCTGCTGCAGCTGCTGAGAGCAAAAACACGAGCTGCCATCAACGAGAGCAAGTACTTATAATTGTCGACACCTGTAGTAATGCAAACTGAAGTACATATCTGCACCGGTAACAAAGGCGTTTATAATAAATAGCACATGTGTGTCGACGACTGGCACTCAACAATTACGGCCATAAACGAGAACCGAAATCGATTTATCTCAGACAAGAAAAAGATCTAAAAAATATGCGCGCATCTATGCGGTCTAAAAAAAATAGAATATGCACCTATAGACTGGAGTCTGAAAATGGCACGCGTCACAAGACAGAAAAATATGTAGCTCTGGCACTTTTATGTACAACAAAAATACACCTAAATCTTTGCACGCGCGACGGCCAAATGCATCTCTACAAACAAAAACTGTCGCAACAAGATTTGCCTTCGTGGACACTAGCGTCCTCTCCACGAACCGCAAGAACGATCCGAATGCACACTTTCTCGAGCTAACTTGGCATGGGCAAAGCTAATGCTAACAAATGCCGGTGGCTACTTATACCCTTTCCGAAATTGAGAAATGATGCATAGATTATGTGGCAGCCGCCATTAGTTGGTCTCATTGCCTCTGGCATGAAGCCCACGATTGGTTCCGTGTTCTCGCCGAGCACTCGTGTAGAATGCTTTTCAATCTGAGTAGGCTCCGAACGCCGACAAAGCACTCGTGTTCAATGCATGCTCACAATATATGCCCAACTAATGGCCACCGCACATAATCTATACACAATTTTTAAATTTTAAAAAGGGTCTCTTGCCGCATTTCGATGTTTAGCGACTAGCGCTTGGAACGCATCTCCGACCTGTGCGCTTGCTGCATCTGCATTCGCAGTCCCTCAACTTTCGCCCGACAACATCACATTTGCATCACGCTGTTCCCTGCGCGATTTCGGTGGCGGCGCGGCGACGGATGTGGATGTTGCAGACACCCGTTCGGCCATAGGCTGCTCTCCGGCTTGGCAGTCCACGTAAGCTTGAGCAGCCGCGAGTCGCAACGTTGAAACAACTACAACACTCGCGTTCACTCTTTTCTTTTTTTTCTTTTTCCTAGAATTTCTACAGCCGGCTATTGAGATCGCGACTTTTAACGGCGTGAAACGCCCGCCCTCGTGACCTGTCTTCTCATCACTTGGGAACCGATCTCGAAGCACGGGCGGTACGCAACGGTTAACACAAAAGTCGAAGACAAGCACTACACTCCATTTCGTCTTACGACGGATTGCAGACGGATCTGCTATGAACCGATCCAGCTCTGCGAACGTATTGCGCGACTAACTCCCCGCACGTCGCAGTGCCCCCTGTTGTTGGCTTCGATGGCTCGTAGCGTCTTCTGCGGTCAATCATAAGCCGAAACGGAGTGCGGGCACCGTAACTATGCCAGAAACTCAAAAGTTTGGGAACTGCATACGAGCAACGCTACCTAGAATGATCGAAGCCCGTGCACTAGCGTTTCGACGTTGTCGCATTGAGATAGAGAGCAGACACAGATTGAACATTGGCGTTCGGCTGTGTCTCGCATCCGATTGATGCGTCGGACTTAGTCCCAATAGACCACTTACTAAATCCCCCAAGCGCCCCGGTCTGCACTCGGGGAATCATGGGAAAGGTGTTTTTTCAGTTCGCTAGTGATCGGTAATTTCGATCAGTTCAGTGCTTACATACTTTTGAGTGTAATCCGGAGTCATCCTGAAGAAGCGTTGTGTAGAGTCCAAAAGCCTGGTGGATCACTAATAAAATTTCTCGTCAGTGTCAGCATTTTTGATACTGTGCATGCAATCCACAATTCAACCTGGCCCGAGGTGCATAAATCTCTTACAATATTATCATTCTCGCTATTGTTGTTTTAGCAGGAATTGCTTAAAAAGCCGAGAATTCACAACAACCAAAAAAAGTATTCAGTTCAAAGTCAGTGAGGCTGTTTATAGCATTTTTAGCGTTTCTAAATTGATATCGGCGTCTTTAAAGCTGTACGAGAATGATAATATTGTGAGAAATTTCTGTAGTTCAGGCAGGTTGAAGGGTGGATGGCACGCACTATCAAAAACACTGATATGGACGAGAAATTTTAAAAGCGACACAACGGGTCTTTGCAATCTGCATGACGCTTATTCGGGATGATTCTGCATTATGCTCAAAAGTGTGTAAGCATTGAATTGGTTGAAATTACCTATCCCTAGGGAGCTGAAGGAACACCGCCCCCACGGTTCCTCGAGTGCGTGCCGGGGCGCAAATGTAGCATCCAGTGAATATCCCTATGGTCGGTGACAGATAAGAACCCAAAAGAAGCTTCGCCTCTGGCATGTGCCCGCCACTTTCTGCCGCGCTTCGAGAGCACGAGCGACGAAGTGCTATCGAGGGTAGAGAGCTTGCATCGCAGACGGAAGCATCCACTGAATTCTTATAACCCGTCGCCGACGGGTTAAGAGAGGTCGGCAACACCAGATGCATCCGTCGGTGCAGTGTAATTCAAACGATCGCGGAAACACAACTCGACAAAAAAGAGAACTGGGCCAGGGTAGGGCGGCCTAATCGATGGCTGGCCTGGTCTTGAAGAGCGCTTCGACGACGCTGTCATCTGCGAGGGTGCTGAGGTCTCCGAACTGGCGGTTATTCTGGGCGATCTGGCGGAGGACACGGCGCATGATCTTGCCCGACCTTGTCTTGGGCAGCCCCGGCGCGTAGTGGATGTACTCCGGCGTCGCAAACGGCCCAATCTTGTTGCGCACTGCGAGGCAAGCACGGGGACGTTGGCACTCGTACCTCCAACAGCCCCCAGCCGGGAATCCATCCAACCGGTCGGTCTCGCACGTGGAGGTAAGAAACTACCGGAGGGGACCCGGGGCTTCGAGGGTGACCAAAACGGCCGTTGAGTCGGCTCTTCTTCTCGTCCAATGGCGGTCTCTTGGTTTCGGTCATTGTCGGGGGCGTGTCCCTCCACACTTCTGGCTTTATCTCTGGTGGCCCCGTGTCGCCTCCGGAAGCTTCCTACCTCCATGGTCCCATAGCTGCTCCCAGTTGACTCATGTTCCCCAACTGGGAATGGCGGCCTTCGGTTGACCCCTCAACTAACCCCGTTTGGCCCCTCGGATGGTCCCAATTAAACTCCCTATTGGTCCCCATTGAATTCCTGTTGGGACCTGTTGATTCCCAGTTGGCATTCCAACTGGTTTCGGTTAGGCACTGTCACCTGGGTTGGCTAAACGAATTTGGTGCAATGGTTCGGATTAACGTTTTCTTACGTGTGGGGCATGCAAAGAGTTGGGAGGAACTCCATATATAACAAACTTTATTGCTTAAAGGCCGACCATCAAGCAGAAAGAAGGAAGCTCTCCCTCAATTCCTCCATTCAAGAAAGAGGGAGACCCTCCTCCTCTCTACCGGGAGTGGTTCAGAGATACGCTCCTGTGTGGCGAGGAGGGGAAAAGTGAGCGAGTGGGAATGAAGAGAAGGAAACTGGGAACCGGTTTTTTCCCCCGGTAGAAGACGATTCTGTTGGTCGGACTTTAACCTTTTCTACTGTGTTGCTCTTTTTACTATTACTTCAAATGCCCACGTCAACTCTGCAAGCTTACATTAACATTTCTGCGCTATATTCATGTTTTTGCTATATGGTAGTTCTCTTCCCTACCAAGATCACTTTCCTTTCTTTTTTTATCTCTACTGCACTTTTGTTTTCTGAGTATTCATTCTTTCATGTATTTTTTATGAACTATAGAGTCAACAATATCAACCTTCCCCTCCCTTCTCATTATTGTTTTCATCAAAGTAAAGAAGTTGTGGCACATTATATATAGCAATTTCTTCTAAATGCTCCGGCGACACAATTGTGTTCACTGTTTTGTGCATGATTTCTGATAGCACCTCGCTCCTTTTCTGTTCATTTAAGTTCATTCTTTACAACGCAGTGTAGTCGTAGTCAGTGATATAAATTATGTTGGCACTACGTACACAGTGCCAACGTCTCCAAAGCACAGATCTCATTTATTAAAAAAGAAGAAATTGTGTTAACACGCAGCTTAATGTTAATATCTAGAGATTCAAATCAAACTGTGATGAGATATCTCATCAGCGTCTTACCTTGCTCTTTCAAGTCAGTAACAAGCCTGTCGCTAAAATCGTTTCCCTGGAAAGCCAAACAAAAATAGCTCGATTAGCATAACACTTGACCTGATCAAAGGAACTGAATGGTGATGGCTACTATCTATTCAAAACAGCCAATGTAAATCATGCCCTAAAGCAGCCATATTTCAATTATGTACAGCGAATAAAATACGGAAATGAGAGCAGCTGACTAAACAAGTTGTCATATACAAATTTAATTTAACATGATTGACAGGTTAGTCAACCCTCCATGGCTGTGAAAAACACATTCAAGACGAAAAGTGTAACCTAAAGCGCCTCTATGACCTCTTTTGCAAGATCTAGTGCATGCAATCAAACACTCATTCCTGTTTCATGCACTCTGAATGTGCAGAGCTTACTCTGTAAGCTCTCCACAGTCTTCACGGCCCCATGAGCCAAATACAGTCTAGGCTCATTATAACAGACCTTGATTTTGACCAAGATTTCGGTCTGTTGTAAGAGGAGTATGTTGTATGCAGATATGAAGTGGAGTCGATGGTATGTAGATGAAAACCAGCTGGACTTGACAAATCTGCATGTTACATCCAAATGTCTGTTGTAACCAGGTCTGTTGTAATGAGCTTAGACTGTATACTTCAGGAATACATGGTGCAAATGTTTACTTGGACCATGAAACAAATGTGATTCATGGGCCCATGGTACAAATGCTTACTCAAACCATGAAACAATCGTGCTTCATTGGTCAACAAAACAAATCTGCTTTTTAGGCTCGTGAATCAAATGTCTACTTGAACCATAAAAAGAATGGGCTTTATGGGTCCATAAAACAAATGTAGGCATGTGCGAATATCTGAATTTTGAGCTGGAAGCGAATGGTGGTTTTGGCCGAATGGTTTCTGATTGAATATTGAATAGTTTCTTAAAGCCTTTCAATACTACAGCATGCTTAAACAAAAACCCAGTTGAACTCATGAAGATTTTTCCTAGGCTTCCATGTGTTCATTTCGTAGCTAATTTTAATCTAACTATATTTATCAACTGTGATCTCAGAAAGTGCAATGCCTACATAGGGCAAGTAAATGATGCATTAACATAAAATTAAGTTCATAGAGATGCCCAGTGCCAATAGCTAACTGAAGGGATTAGTCAATATTCTTGCTATGTGGCAATTATATCTTTTCTTCGGACACAAATAATAACGCAGGTTCTCGGGGCATCTCTACCTAAGATACACTTGTGCATCTTAGGTAGAGATGCAACCTTAATTTTGAAAATTTTACAGCGATGTCGACACCAACATTCAAAAAGTGTCCGTTTTTTTTTTTTTAAATACACCGGGTACGCCTGTGCACCATCCCACTTTGAAAGTATGCTTTTCTCCTATGCACGCAGCTCTGATATTTGTATTTCTCAAAGTGTTGATTGCGTCGGGTTAATTCTGTTGAGCGTGCTTCTTGCCGAGCACCGGTGCACCGCAGAGAAGCAACCCCCCCCCCCCCCCCCCCCCCCCCCGCAGAAGCGAGCCCCGTGGGTGTTGCTTCTCCACAGTGCACCGGTGCTCAATAAGAAGAGCGCTCGACGGAGCTAATTGCCACAATCAACACTTCGAAAAATATGAATATCGCAGTTCATTCCAAAGCGAATAGCATATTATTCTAAACTAATATTTGAAAATTCAAAGATTGGGACAATCCTAAACAAATGCTCACGGGGACCATGAAACAAAAATGCTTCCTAGATCGCCCAATCAAACAATTACCGGGACTACAAAACAAACATCCTTTGTGGGTCGACGACACAGATTTGTTTCACGGTCCCACCAGGAACCGGGCAGCATGTACTCAACAGAAAGCACTCACCTCCTTGAGAACAACAAAGCAGTAGAGGCACTCGCCCTTGACGGCGTGGGGACGAGCGACCACGGCCGATTCGGAGACCGCCCTGTGCTCAATGAGGGCCGACTCCACCTCGGCCGTGGACAGCAGGTGCCCAGACACGTTGAGCATGTCGTCCATGCGACCAGTCACCCAGAAGTAGCCGTCCTTGTCTCGACGGGCCCCTGGAGAGAGTGGAGCGAGATGCGGGGCGTGAATGAAGAACTCGGAGAAGTGCCAACATCTTCTGTCAGTGGCTTGTTCCCCGGTTTCGCAACAGCGGGAGTGCAAACGCCATCAGTTTCCCCACTAATTTTAGCAGAAAAATTTACATCACGTGACCTATGCACCAATTCAGTTTCCCCACTGAATTTGGTGGGAAAATTGATGTTACGTGACCCGACGTCACGGGACCTACGGAAAGAATTCAGGCAGAATGCATGATTGGCACAATGTCAATCGATCGTCATCGTCATATCGTCGAATAAGCAGCACAGCTACTGCTGTCTAAATGCATAGCGTGTAATCATGCATGTGACGTCAAGCATACACCCCGACGTTGTAATGTCAAATGAAACCAGGATGCAGCACCGTCGCATCGCACAACATGCGGTGTAACCCGACGTCACCCAAGATCAAGGCCGCTGGGAAAAGGGAGTGATCACGGCGCCTCCCTTTCTTGCCCACCGCAAGCTTGCCGAGGAGACAAGAAAAGAAAAAAAGGGGGCTGCACTGACCGTCTCCCGTGCAGTAGTAGCCAGGAAACTTCTTGAAGTAGGTGGTCTCGAACCGAACGTGGTTACCGTAAACAGTCCTCATCATGGACGGCCAAGGCTTCTTGAAAACCTGCGAGGTGCGGCGTGCGTTCGTCGTCAAAGGGACTGCAAAACGATTTTCCGAGTCGCGGTATTTCTATGTTTTGTCTAGAAATTCTTTTCCCGGCCCTGACCGTGCCCAGAAAAGAATGAAACTGCTACGATCCGTTGTCCAATTCTACGTGCAGAAACGAGGTCGTGTAATGAAAAACTGACACATTTTCCCGCTTCAACGTAATTCAAAGTTGTACACATGGATCTCTCTATGGCAAATCAGTTTTCCAGGAAAAGAAACCTTTACTATAAGTAGTACTTCAAGCGCTTGTACCAGTGAGCATTCTTTAACATTGCATGACTACTAGTATATCTGTACCTTTACTATATTAGCATTTTTACTATACGGATGTACCGTATTTGCACGAATATAACGCAAGTTTTTTTCCAAAATTACGAGCTCCAAAACGCACCTCGCGTTATATTCGGAATCGAGTTCAACCACGAGGAGCGCGAGTCTGGAGAAAGCCAGAGGAGAAAGCCATTCCTCCGGCTCAATGCAGGAGATTTGGTGGGAAAAGAAGTGGGGGTGTGGAAGGGAATTTATTAGCCATTGGGCCACGTGAAGGGGGAATAGAAAACATAAAAAAAAGCATTTTTATCGTTTTTTGTTTGTACAACGCGCACACAACGCAGAAAGTCGGCGCGCGCGCGCGTCATGCGGGCACTGGCCAATTCGAGCCAAGCCAAGCCAAGCCGGGCCAAGTCAAGTCAACACAAGCCAACCCAAGGCCACCAACTGCGTTTACGCAATCGTGTATCGGATTCAGCAGTCTTTTTTCTGCCTGCGCATTGTTTAGTTTCTGCTCCAGAGTGATCAGGGGGGCTATGTTCGACAAATGTTACGTTTCTCCTAAAAAGAAACGGAAGTGACGGAAATGACGAGATCGCGTCTGATTGACTAGAGGTTCAAATGACGAAAGAGGGAACTTTCGTCAATTGAGCCTCTAACCAATCAGACGCGATATCGTCACTTTCGTCACTTCCGTTTCTTTTTAGGAGAAACGAAACATTTGTCGAACATAGCCCCCCTGGTGTTTGTGTGTTGGTGCTTCTGCTTCCTGCCTTGTTTGGATTGTGGGCTGCCGAGGAGCTCGCACTGAAGAAAAAGAAACTACCAGACAAGCAGGTGCCGTGCTGCTGCTTATCTGCGTAGTCGCCAAGTGGATGGTAAACGGAAGGACCTGAGCAGTGAGGATGAGTCCAGTCAAAACAAACCAATATTTCTTCTATTTCCATTGACTTTTCACATCTGCTATGCCCCCGAGTGCGAGAAAGTGACGCGGCCTCGGTTCGCGTTATAATAGTAATAATATTTTTTTTTTTTTGAGGGCATCAAAACCTGCTTTCGCGTTATATTCGTGCAAATACGGTATCTTGAACATTATTCAGCCAAAAGCCTACAAACTCAGTTCACGGTCTCTTCGAAATAGTACGCAACATTACCTATGGTGTCTGCAATATTGGTGCATTTTATATACTCCCATTGTTAGGATGAATCTAGACAATGCTCCCAATCTGAGCCCCAATGGTCTTGCAAGGTTCTATCGAAGATAAGTTTAAAATATGGGATCAAACTGAATTGCTCCCGGCTTTGACTGGAGGCTGATAATTAATTTACAAACATTTGTAGTAAACCTAGGAACAGAAAGATGCAAGTGTGGTTGCATAACTCACCAGATATCCCTCTGCCTCTCCCTCAACCTCCTTTCCCTGCTCGTCAAGTATTGTTGCCTCCACTCCGAAGAACGGAAAGGTCTGGGGGCAGAAAGAAATACACAAAAAATTGACATGGAATTTTTCAATTCTTTTATTATTATTTCATCTGAAGGTGATCACAATGTCTTGTAAAATATTCTGTTTCCAACAATGTGAGTCTTTTACATGATATTTAATAGGTTCCCTACTAATTGATGTTCTCTGGTAGTAAAGTTTTTTTTGTCTTCATTTCAGCATGCATGAAGCTAGCGAGAGCTACCCTGAGCATTGTTATAATGGCCATATTCAGCCTCTTTGAAGTAGTATTTCTGGCTTGGTCAGTTTTGTTTTTGTCAGTGCTTTTTTTAATAACAATTCGCACAACAGTGACCGCAGAACCTTTATCGCTTCAGTTAATGGTCTCTTCGGCCAACTGCAAACTTGGGAGCTTTCTTGCTCTGACAAAAGTGCTACTGATCCCTGTTACTACTACCTGAGAACCATCTTTCAGTGTGACATAAAATACTGTATTCGTAAGGCTTGGAACTCTCGGACAAAAAAAGTTCAGTTACTCACCGCAGAACCTGGTTTTGCCGGAGTTGCTCCTGGTAGAGGAGTCAATACGTGCCCTCCCTGAAAAATAAGTTTCGGTTAATGAGTACTAGCAATAAGCTAACAATTGGTTGCTTGTTCCACTCGCACCACCGTCAGTGAACTCTCATTTCATATAGTGTAGTCCTGTAACACAAGGACAAGGCAATGACGCAAAACAAATCACTCGAACAACCAATGTAATTTAACTCTCTCTCCGACAAACCGTCAGAGCACCAACCTCGATTCTTCATAATGAGAATTAAAATCAGCATTCATGAATCACTCACAAGGCACACCACCTCCACTGCTTCAATAAAAGATTCAACACTGGTGCAGCTGAAAATATCTGGGTCAAGTGTATTTCACTTTCTTATAGTAGCAGCAGGAAAAAAGAGTGCCTACAAGTGTCATTATTGAATGAGTACCCGACAAGCGTATTTCTGTGTTTATGTCGATCGTTGTCCATGCTTCTAGAGCTTTAACGTACATCTGTTTCTGCTCATCTTAAAGGCGTCGTTTAAAAGGTGATCCACGAGTTTCAAGCGCATGTTCTTGCACTGCGCGTCGATGCGCGCGAAGCGTCGACGTACCGTCTCGGTCTGCCAGAAGGTGTCTACGATGGCGCAGTTGGAGTTCCCGACCACCCGGTGGTACCACAGCCAGGCTTCCGGGTTGATGGGTTCGCCCACAGAGCCCAGAATGCGCAGCGACCGCCTGTCGTACCTGTGCGGCCGTGCCAAAACAAAACAGTCACTCATTTCGTACAAATTCTGCCACAATACACATAGTGCACAGAACCAGTCAGGGGAATCGCTTGCTTGCCCATGGTTGAAGTAAACCCAGAAATACAGGAAAATTTGCAACGGATAAATTGTCGAGTTTTGGCTCTTAAACTTGGAATTCTCTGCTTCCTCTATGGCACTTCCATGCTTCGCTTCAAAGGTGGCTCATGATTACTAGACCAGAATTAGTTAAGAGTCATACCTGAGAGTACTTTGAAATCCTGAGCAAGCGTCCACTCAAAATTCTGAGATAACCCTGTAAAACTGGGGAGTGGGTGCTCCCTAGGTCGACAATATGTAAAAACACGTCCTTTATGTTTTTTTTTGTTTTTTTTATTACAAAATTGAGGGGGGGGGGGGGGGGGGCACTTACTGTGGGATGGACAGATGCTGGGTATTTTAGGGTAGTTAAAAAATGCAGCATATACAGGCATTCATATTGTATGCAGTGGAATACAAACAACTAACTACTGATGCTTCTGCAGCATTGCAAAACCCCAGGACAACCAGAAAGAGGTCAAACACACAAAAGCTGGCCTTTGTCTCTTTTGCTTCATTGCAATAGACCTTATGCAAAATTGCTTGGTGGTCTGATGGTCTGACAACACTGACAGCTTCGCCACTTTAATGTTGGTAGGCGTTGTCAGTGCCGAAGCATGGTGGAGGCATCGGAGACAACCACACAGGCAGTGTGCGATGACGCGGCAGCTGTGTTTTTCACCTTTCAAACATGGAATGTAAACGAACAGTTTAAGCAACCCATTACAACAGTCTGACGAAACTATCGGAGGTTTGTGCACGCTGGCGACAACCCGCAGAGTGTAAGCTTCCACGAAAAAGGTGTAGGACTTGCTCCACCGCTTCGACGAGGTTGTCTCCAGTGTGCACAGGCCTCCGAGAGTTTTGTCAGACAGTTGCGGTAGATTGCTTAATACTGTTCATCCACATTCCATGGTCAGAATGCGGAAAACACAGCTGCCGTGCCATTGCACGCTGCCCATATGGCTGCCCCCAATGCCTTCACCGCGCTTCGGTACCAACGACGCTTGCCAACATTAAAATGGCGACGCTCTCAGTGTTGTCAGACCACCGAGCAATTTCGCATAAGGTCTATTGGCCACAACTCTGTAAAGTGCAACAGCTGTATATGGGAACATCCAAAGCTGTGGGTAAGGGTTTCCACCGAGCACCTGCACCAGCATTTTTGAGGGGAACTCTCAAAATTGTTTGACCTCGCACTGCCACATCGTGGTCGCCAGTTCAAGCATAGAATTAGCTTCTAAAGATTATTATTCCAAAGACAGACCTCTTGCAAAATCGAAGCAATCCTAGTGGCATAGTGCCACGAAAAGCATTCTGGAAGAACCCTTTGCAACTAAGTTTCGGTTTTGATTTGCCAACCTCGCTTCACGACATCCCGTCTCAACCAAATACGATGCTTGCATTTTCGAATCTGCGACTTTCCTCAAATACTGCGAGTGTCGCCCGCCAATACGGATAGAATGCTAAGGCATCTTTTTGAGCGCTACCGACGTGCCAGAGTTTTTGCGCAGGTAAACACAGGACTACGACAACGCATAGAGGAAGAAGTATATTCTGCTGCTCGTCCTGCTTCATTGTCTCCTCAATATTTTAGGCTTCTTAAATGATCCGTGAGACGGGAGGGTCACGTTCAACTCTGGAATGGTAGCCAGAAAGGCAGGGAACGTGGCCGGCCACACTCCTACTCTTCGCTAAGCCTAAAGGCAGGCTCTTACGGCCGCCGGAGGTCCGTGTTTCGACAAGGGCTCTCGCACAGATGAACAGGTGACATGCAAGCGAGCGCCAACTTTATTTTCATGCAGTGCCAAGATGCAAGACGCAATCGAAACCAAAACTAAGCCACTCCATGGCCAATGCAACAAGCGCTGCATTGCACGCAGGGATGTTTGGAAATAGTCTATTGCCTTTTGGGTGCTGTCATACTTGCCTCCTGGGCCGTAAAATGTGTTCCGAATATAAGTTGCCATGCATGTTGCCACAGCAATTAACTCTACACATTTTGTCCGGGTGATAAGCGTTGGAAAGGTGTGCAGGCAGAGAATTCCGCAGAGACTCACTTCTTGACGTACTGGTCGCCATACTTCATTAGCGCCCTGACTGCCGTGGGTGCGGTGTAGAACTGGGTCACTCGGTACTTGTCCACAATGGCCCACAGACGTCCCGCGTCCGGATAGAATGGCACTCCTTCAAACTGTCCGGTCAGAGAGCAGGTGGGCTCGGCGTTACAAACTCAGTGTGGTCAACGAAATAATGCACAAAACGGAGGGCGGCAACATACCGTCCGCACAATCTTTTCGACGGGCACGTCTGCTTCTCGCATTTTCGTCCCTCGATAGATAGTCAAACTGTCGCCCTTTTAGCTCTTTATAAATGCAAGCTGATACCTTTCATTCCGGTCCACTTTTGTGGTCATATCGCTAGGATCCGGTGCCATCTTTCATGTTAATGACTGTATTTACAATTCGTTTGACATCTTGCCTACCCTATACAGTGACGTCTCATAAAAATGAACACCTTCGTCAATACCGCTTAAAAGACAAGGAGTATGTCTTTTCCCCCTCAAACGTTGTCTACGGTGAAGCCCCCGACCCGCCCCAAGCAGCAAACAGGCGGACGCTTGACGAAAGTCGCTGCAAAGCAGCAGACGCGTCCGTCATGGCGTTGCCGCGTGCCGGCGTCTCATGGGCGCAATGTTAGTACGGGGTGACGCCACATTCTAAGACTGCGCAAAAACCATTTATAATAATGAGACAAAAATGCGTGCGTTTTCTGTTTGTACCCCGAAAGGTGTCTACATGGCAGAGTATTTAAATTAACGGGGTTTGTATTAATGAGGCGGGACTATATGTCATCCTGCCAGTTCTTATTGTGACAACATATTTGAACGACCTAATTATTCGCCGAATTTTAATAAATATTTTTTTAATTGTGTATTGTCATAAGGACTCTTACCACTCGTGCCGAAGTCCGGATAAACAGCATCGCCGAAGTTGCAAATCTAAGAAAGAGTTTTTGATTGCCGATATACCGTAGCCGTGCATTCAACGTGGACATCTGCATTCGGCATCCGTGTCTTTGTTAAATTGTTTGAAAAAGCATTAAATGTTTTCGGCACAGTCCCTGGAACGCATCTTCGACTTGTCTGTTTAGCTTCCTATATTCCGCCCATGCATCGAAGGTGGCCCCAGTGTGGCAACAAGGGGCGTCACAAAGGCCGGAGTGTCGCGTCATCGGACGTCGTAATCCTGGTGAAATTGGTTGCAGAACTTTTGGCAAAAAGCTTTAGCAAACGCTGGTGCCATTGTTGTCGTCTGTGTCCCAACTTTCAGCTGCCAAAACTTCCGCAGACCATCAAACCAGCGAGCGACTTGTAGCAGAATAGGGAGTTTGCCACCACCACGGTCGCTGCCGCGACACCGCCAGGTTTATGGATGGTGACAACGCGACACTCGTACGGCGCCGTCGGGCGGAAATCGGGGTACTACTTTTCGGGGCACAGTATGCACACCAGTCAGTGATGCGTTCCAGGTACCATATGGTTTTCGGTAACATAGTGTCTAGAGTACTGTCCGACGGCACTCTTGCAGAGCGTTCAAGTGCCGTTTGACAATACTCCACTCACACGTTCAAGTGCCGTCCAAAAGTCTCGTATAAAACGAGTTGTCAAAACGAGATTTTTGAAGCGGTACCGTAGCTTAGTGGTTAGATGTCTGCCTCACGCGAAAGCGGTCCCGGGTTCGATCCACAGGGTAAGCTTACTTTCAAATTTTTTTTCTTGAACATTTTGTTTTATTGGGGCATCTGGTGATATTTACGACTATGAATGTTGTCGACGAAACTTCGCTAAACAAAATGGTATGGGACTTACTTTCTGAAGGTGCCTAAAAGACGGCGGGGCTTGGGTTGCCGGCTGGACGCCGGGAAGTGGTGTGTACGACGGGGCCAAATGGATTAATAGTTTTGTAATTAGCAGCTGCATACTGTTGCCGCGAAGTGGCGTGAACGCAGGCGGAAAGGTGCGTTAGCAAGTTCCCCAGTGATACACGCGCCATCAGACTCTCTTTCGGATGGCACTTGTAGGCGCAAGTGGAGTGCCGTGGAACGGCACTGTTCGGTAAAAGAGGTCCTCACCATGACACTGGTCGCACCGTTCGCCAGCACACCGTACACGACGTACGAGTGGCCCGTGATCCAGCCGATGTCAGCCGTGCAGAAGTAAACATCCCCGGGATGGTAGTCGAACACGTACTTGAACGTCGTGGCAGTGAACAGCATGTAGCCTGCCGTTGTGTGAAGGATGCCCTTGGGCTTGCCGGTTGAACCGCTGCGCGAGAAATCGAAAACTGTGTGGGCGATTGAGGATGGTAGATGGAACCGTGCGTGAGTAAATATACATGCTCGAAATAATTTTTTACGCGTGGGGTTCCGTTCTAGTCGTATATAGAAAAAAACAGAAATGCATTGATTCAAAGACAAAGTTCGGAGAACGTGGGGCAAAAGCTCGCGCTGCAGAAACCAAGTATCCCGTGTTCAATCCCCACGCCTGTCCATTTCGATCTGGAGGAGCGTCGTACCGGCGTACAGTCGTGCATGCTACTGCGTGGTGACGTTAAAGATCCCAGAGTAACAGTGATACCACGCCAATTAAATTTTTCATCTGCGGCGTAAACTAGCGTCGCCGCACCTCAAAAGCAAACCTACCTGACGCTGTCTAAACACAAACGTCAAATTTGTTTTGTTTTGTTTTGAAGACAGAGTAAAAGTGCATGAAATTCCCACATATCCAGTCAAGTGGTCATTCGAGGTTGAAGTAAACGTGTCATCGGTGCAAGCGATGCCGCCGCTAGACCAAATAGCATGAAATGCAACCATAATGTTACTGGAATGTTGCGGGCTAATGGTGCTGTAATGTTACTGCTTTTTTTTTTATGTTACAAGAGGGTGGTTTTGTTATCCTGTAATGTTATGTTAAAATGTGCAATCATTTTTCAGGGTATGTTACCTGAAAAATGTTACAGTAACGTTGTAGGCTAATATTGTCCAACATTTGCTATGTGTTTAAAAACTTGGCAATACCAGTCCTCATACATTCTCGGGATGATCAGTTCTTTTATATACGAGATGTCAAGCGTTCTATATGAACACTCAGTGCACGTTACTCTAAATCCGTCATAACTAGCCTTCTTCTCTCTCACCAAGATACTCAACCACTGAAACAGGCAACATGAAGCCAATCTAAGCCTCCGTTCGCGGCACGAACACTGCAGTGCAGGTGATCACCTCTAGTATGGCAGCGTAGCGTTGAAGTACAGCGAACAGAATAAAAATAAGCATCTAAAAAAATAAGGTTCATTATGTCTGCACTGCTTAAAGCACAGCTGTCTTAAATCGTCTTTTTAGACGTTCGGGTTTGTGCCCATTCCACTAGCACCAACACAATGTCGTACCGTTCTTGAGCGACAGACAGACCTAAAAGTCTCGGCTCATGAAATACTCGCTCAAAAAGAACAGCATGGTTCTGAATGTGCCATAGTTTTAAGGTTAAACTTTGTGTATACGTACGAGGATTCCTCACAGCACAAGAGTACTGCAGAAATCGGTTTTTGACTTGTCCAACACGTCTCTAGAATTATAGCGGATGAAATCTCACAAACGAGCTGGCTTGCGTTTCAGGCACTGCCGACATCGTCCAACTGGTTATAAAACAAAATGCACAAAAAAAACGTTCAGCCTTTCCACTCTTGTGAAGAAGGAAGACCAGCGGAGCTGTACTCGATACACTTCCGCAACGCGCACACGCCCAATTCCCGCTTTTTCTAGTCCGACAAGCCGCCGATCGTGGATACGTCTCCGGCGAACCAGAGTTGGTCGCACACGGCGCACGTGACGCCAAACGGGTTCTCTACAAACTCCTTTCAAAACCTCGCCATCGCACCCGAGAACTGTTCAGCCGGCGAAGAGTGCAGTCGTCACCGAGCATCGCGCTTGCGCTTCGCCTCCGTGGCACGATCGTCGTCCGTGGCGTTGGCCCGCCGGCGCCCTTTACATCGCTGGTTCTGTTCTCAGCGGCTGCTTTCCAGGCGAGCGATGTGCCCTTTGGCAAAGGAATTTGAAGCGCTGGATGCAGTGGAAGTCGAGGCGAAGGCGGCTTTGCGGCGGTTATGGACCCATTCACGCTGCTGCGTACGTCGCCACTCCTTCCGCAACCTGTTTTCTTTCCCCGAAAGGGCGCACGGCCGACCCATCGCGAGTCGAAACCAAAACTGATAAGAGAGTAGGAGCGTAGGAAACAGCGCGCAAAACAGACAAGGACGAAGAAACAAACGTGACGAGCGCTACGCTCGTTACATGTGCTTCTTCTTCATCGTCGTCTGTTTTTTACGCTGTTTCCTACAATGAATTCCCACCAGCTATCAATTCTTCTATGATAGCTGGAAAGGTTACCGCCCTCTACGAGCGACGGCGGAAACCATACTGGTTGTGTGCTTGCCGCCATCGTTTACAGATGGCGGTAGCTGTCCAGGTAGGTTTGTGTCGACATACCGGACACGATCCTGGGGAACCTAGCGCTTAACAGCTCCGCTGTAAGAAAAAAAAAAACAGACAATTGTTTGCTTGTTGTATGTCTTCTTTACCCTCTTCTACAGCGGTAGCTGTTGGAGCGACTTCCCAGCTGCATTCGTCGCGTCAACAGAAGACTCAGTTTCATGTTCGCTCATGACCCTGTGATGCCAGGCAAAGCATGCACACTTGGCTCTTGCCAGGTGGCAGTGTCTTCCACTGTTACAGTCGACAAAGGACGCCACTACACAATCCTCACAGTAGAGCTTGATTTGCGCATACCGTCTGAAGCAGACGCCCCCACTCATCACGGTACCTGTCTCAATTCAGTTGACTCACGTGTGCAGTGTGTTCCCTTTCCCATATTCTTCAGCAGCAACCACGTGGCTGCGTCGTGTGTGATCAAGTAATTAAAATGTAGATACGCGTAGAAGTGGGCGTTACTGCATGCACTAAGGGCTGTCACCGTCCCTTCGCACACGGCAATCAAAAGCTCCAGATTTTTGGTGCGCTTCGTTACGTAACAAGTTGGCAATGGCTGAAACGCGAGCCAGCTTGTTTATTATTGGATTCCATCCACCACGCTTTTAGGAACGGCCGGTACCAACTGGATCAGTTTCTGACGCTTCTGTCGTCCAGCTCACCTCGTGTAAAGCAGAAAGAGCGGAGACTCGGCATCCATCCATTCTGGCGTGCAGGTCGTGGGCTGGTTGGTCACGTCTTCGTGCCACCAGCTGTCCACGTCGGCATCCCACGAAATCTGAAATTAATTAATTGGGTAACTTGTCGACTCCTTTTGTTATCTGTACATTTTGATGCACCAGGAATTAGAGCCATTACAGAAATGAGCTAAGCAGTGTAATGGCGCTCCATTTTTCCGATGGCTACGATTCAAAAGTGCGACTTCCCGATCTTTAGGTACAGTGTCAAGAAGCTCGGGCAACATTGTCTCGCTCTGTCGCAAACTGTTTTAACATTTCTGAAGGACAGAAAAAGTGTTTCCTACGATTTTAGATGGACCTTCATATAACTGGCAACCATGATTCGGAGCACCAAAATGAACGAAGTGTCCTTACTCTCAAGCTTAGCTTACCGGTGACCAGTGTACGGTATACCCCAGTGAAAGAAAACAGATTTTAAAAACTGGTTACAAAAAGCTGCTGCAGTTTTGGAAGGACTCTTGAATTCGTTGAAAAACAATTGTTCTGGTGCTGCTTTAGTTCAGACAGCCAGCTGCTGTCAGGCTATATTTTATACTAATAGGAAACTGTCTTCAATATATGAAATGGCATGCAATATTTAAAAGAGAGAAATGAAACAACACGGAGAAATAAGGCAAATATGGCCGAAGCTATGAGGAACAATTGAATAAATAAAGCTAAGCTCAGCAGTAATTTAAAGTCCCGGCCAATCTGACTCACTAAATAACCAAACCGCCACAACACCATTTGTCAAATAGGATTGCATAGTTGTAAATAAAACTGGTTTGAACTAGTCACAATTAAAAGCCAACTGTATACAGAACAAAGTGGGGCCATTTGAAACACCCTTAGCCTCTTTATTTTTCTTATTTACGAATCTGATTTTTTTTTTTTATTGTTCATGTATTGAATTATTTTATTTACAAACACTATGGAATGTTAACATTTTAACGCATGCTTTAACTGAAAGTTGCAGCATACCTTAAGTCCTGAGTAGGGTCGCTTGCCAATGTCCATTCTTCGTTCGGTCGGCGACGTTAGGTGTCGCACCACAATGGTGTGCTTCACTTCGTGCCCGCTGCATGGAATGAAATTAATGGTATAGACCACGGGTGGCCAAACCGCGGCTCGCGAGCCGCATGCGGCTCTTTGCTGTTCCAAGTGCGGCTCGCGGATCCCTCGTAAGTGAACCCCCCACCCCTCCCCCCCCGCCCCTTTCCGCGTTTCCCCAGGATAAAAAAGAAGGGATTTCAGGCAGAATAAAGTATGGCTCGCGGTTTGGCAGCCTTGTACCCCCATACGTACTGTCTTACAGCCTTGTGCACTCATACATACAGTCAGAGTCCAAACAAAATTTTAATTTGCACCCCCCCCCCCCCCCCCCCCCCAACCCGCGGCTCTTGGAAGTTTTGTGGATTCGTTTGCGGCTCTTAGGCCGGGTCAGCCTGGCCACCCCTGGTATAGACGATTACAAGCAGGGCATCTGGCTGCCGCCCACCACGTTTCTGCACGTGCAAGCAAGCACACGTGATTGCAAGCCTGTCAAGGCCACATTCAAGCGCATGCTTGGTGCGCTGGTACCCATGGGGCACCTGTCGGGATGCTAAGTTTGCAATCGTCTATAGTTGGCAAGGGGCTGCCTGTGGCGTCTTAAAACAGAACGGACATAGTGGTAACCCTGGAGCAAAGGGAAGGTGGGGTAAACAAAGACAAAACTCTAATCAATAGCTAAATTTTTATTACACCTAGACACCCTTAAATAGACCCACGACCAGAAGTACACATTTAAACTTCACAGAACAAAAGAATCTTGCTGCCGTTTCCCCTTCCTTATGTGTCCGGTAGTCATGGCTGTGGCTGCATTTTTGTTTAGATGGTGGGTTTCGTCTTTGTGCTGGCGTCCTTGCTTGTCATTGTTTTTTAAAGCGAAAGCATTAACTGTCCCATGGAGCGAGCAGACGTCATCAGTTTGAAGCGCGAAAACGGCACCTAGTTTCCGCGATCGCCTTCAATTCCATTGGCTGGCGCACGTCGACGAGGCTCCCATTGGCCACTGCGCTCATCAGTTTCCACGACCGCTCACCCCATGGCGCTGCGTGTCCATCAACGCGCCGTTAACACGGAGCATCCAAGGTCAACAGGGGAGCACGTGCGCTGACCGGCGACGAAAAGTATGCAGCAGACGAAAAAGGGAGCGGACGAGTGGCTTGCATGCTTTCGCATTCACGACTCACAAGAAGTGCTTAGGTGTACTTCGAGCTTTTTTGTTTCTAGAGTTGTTTGAAGATTCTTTTGTGGTGTTAACTTTAGGTGTGTACAGTTCCCACCAATATAGAAGACCCACTTGGAGAGCACAGTTGATGGAGACAGTGACTAGTAGGGCTGCGGAGTGTGCTGTGGGCTGTCCCGCATCGCACCAACGCGGTCAAATTGAATCGGTGCACAGTGAAAAACCGCCTCCCTTTCCCTCGCAGCGACGTAAAATTGCTCAAAGAGTGAGCAGCGTGTCTCCCCAATTGTATCAACCATGTGCTTCCAAGTGGGTCTTTCATATTGATGGAGACTTACCTCTGCTGATTGTGCGCCTATTTAAGGACGTCACGGTGTAATACAACTTCAGCTCTGTTGGAGTTTTGTGTTTGTCCATCGCTTCTTCCCCTCGCTCCAATGCAAGCTCGCCGGCCCTCTCCCCTTAGTTTCAGGAAGAACTGAATTTTACACAGGTTGGCATATTGAACATTCTTAAGGGGAGACACTGCCCAGAAAAAGAAATTTCTGCGAAAAAAGTTGATTTTTGAAAACTGACATATTCACATCCACCAACATCTAGAGAGTATTCCCAAAAAGTTTAATTAATTTGCACTGTATAGTTAATTTTTTATAAATTATTTTCTGTCCACCAAAGCTATAGAAAAGGTAGGGTTTGGAGCACTTTGAATGCATTTTTCTCCGTTCCACTTTTTGGTATAAATTCCATTTTAGTCAATCTATCGTTTGATAATGGCAAAACCGAGAAAGCTCATTCTTCCCTTTTCCTGATTGAAATTGAATAAGGAGTGCGGCTATGGAACTTTCTTGTCACTTTACGGATGTCTTTTGTAAAAAATGTTGACATTTTGTCAAAGGCACAGAAGACCAAAAAGTTGACCAATTTTGCAGAAGAGAAAATTTATAGAAATAAATTACTTTAAAAAAAAAACGTTCCATAGCCGCACCCTCTAGGCATTCTGCTACATATCTAGCAAATAAAAACCTTGAATATCGCAATAGTTTTCTGGCGATAGATTAACTAAACAATGTACGCGTGTTGCTGATAGAAGCTACTCTTATTTCCTTTTCATTTAACTGACAGACCTGAAATTTTGTTACACACCCTCCAGCATGAGCACCAGCCTACCCTGTAAATTTCATTAAGTTTAAGACAAGGGTTCAGAAGTTGACCTCCCTAGGGGGTGTGTCCCCTTAAAGGGAAAGCTTGCGGTGGTTCACTCCATAAATGCCTACGGACAGCTTAAGAACAACAGCAAGCTGAACAGAAGCACAGGATTAGTGCTTAAAGACTTCCAAGCATTAAAGAGCTTGGCATAGGTGCTTGCTCTAGGCACTCGATGAAGTTCAGTTTTGCATTTTTACATAAATTCTAGAAGTTCTATCGTTAAACATGTATGTCGTCAATCTGGATGTATACTTCTCGTGTTTAGAACTGAACTGCAAAAAAAAGCTACATGCTTCTCTTCCAATAACCTTCAATCACCGTTTTCTACTTTTCTTTTTTTTAACCGCACGGTGTTGCCTACGGCGACGCCTTCGCTGTTTAAACTAGCTACCTCTATGGGCAGCAGACGGAAGTCGACTTACAGACGGCGCAATATGTAGCAAACGTCAACAGCAGTTCTCTTTTTGCTTTAAATTATTTTTACAAAGCAGTACTGCTTTGTGTATTGTTAGCGCACAGGCTACTATAGTCTCCTTTGCTGTCCAAGTCTGCTACAACATAAAAAATGCAGGGCAAGATCCTCCCACAAAGCCTTCCACTCTTTTAGCAAAGTAAATGCTGGAGAGGAGCCAAGTGGAGAGAAGGAAATTACTAAACAAGGTGAGCAGAGAACTTTGTTGGAGTGACTTATGTTTTTTAACCTGAAACTAACTATAGTCCATCCAAGTAGAGCATGAACAGACTGTACTACACGGCGAAGATATGTTATTTTGAAAGCAATTCATCATTATACTGCTGAGTGATGTTCTATGTATAAGGTACATTGGGAATGTGTGATTTATGGCTCGATGCTTAGCTTCACTTACAGCTCTTTGGCCTTTGCTACAGCTTGGTCCACAATTTCCTTGAGGTTGACCAGCTTGTTGCCTCTCCAGACACCGTCTATATTTGAAGGAAACAGTGATTGTCAATGACTCGGAGAGAGCTGTGAGTTCTGACCAAAACGTCAAAAATCAATTCCAAGAAAAAATTTTAGAAGTTGAGGCAAATGAGCTTTTGTGTTTGACTGTGCCCTTCATTAGTTCAGTCATTCTCGAACATCCGTCATAAAGGTTTAATAGACATGTTAAAATATTAGGAAGTTTTGGCTGCCGACATAATTCATTTGATCTCAGAATCGACTAGCATTTTTCAGTGCATAACAGTGCACTTCCCACGTGGCTCACATGCACTGCAGTGAAGCGACACTCGCGTTATTGTTGTCATGAATGTTACTTTCTCTTGGTACTGAAAGGACAATATCTTTTCTAGCTTGTTGGTTGACTACATTTTGTTATGACAGATTTTAGATCTATGTATCTTTAGAATTTAAATAAGGTATTATGGCTTTTTTCTAGGTCTGTCAGAGATTCCCTTGAACAACAAACCAAAAGGTATAGTGTGTGCCCGAAATTTACAAATAGTCTTGATAAACCAGGGGTGGGCGCCTGGTTAGGTTCAAGAGCAAAAATAAAGATGGGACATGAAAGGAACAATTGAAAACAAGTGTGTCGGTGAATAGATACGAATACATGAAAGGATAAAACATAAAGGACGGGGACAAAAACAGAACTACTTTGAAGAAGTTCTGTTTCCATCCCCGTCCTTTATATTTTTTTCCTTTCATGTATTCGTGACATGAAAGGGTGGGCTTTACTGCTTTGCTCCGGAGTGCTTAAAGAGGCGGCTGACCAGGAGGGGCGTCTCGGTGAGCTAAATGTGCGTTCCCTAGATCCTTTGCTTTGTTGTCAAACATTGTGAAAGTAGCAGTGCGCACTTATTGTGACATAGGGCACATGCTCAGTATTTCATGGTATTGTAATTTGGTCGCATACACTTTCTTTAAATAAGTTAAAAGGCAAATGCTGGTTTCATTCTACAATCTTGTTTTTGTGAAAAACAAATTTAAGAGCATCACAGAATTATAAATCTTGTATTTTAGTCTAAGGAAAACATAATTTTAAGAGTGTTACATTTCTCAGGAATCATTCAATTAAATTTCCTATATTTTAGTGGTTTACTCGGTTTATATGCAACTTTAAAAATCACTACTTGCATACATGTGAAGTTTGAAGCTAACCAAATGACTATGCTGTAAGGCAAAAGAAGGAGAAGAGATGTATAAAAAAAACAAGAATACTAAAAAAAAGCTTTTTTTTTTTCATGATTGACATTGCAACATACCAAGCAGTATAAATACGTAAAATAACCAAATCAAGTTTACCATATTTAATGTCTTTTATGAGGAAAGATAAATTAAAATATTTGCTACATTATTTATTTATATAAAATAGGATGAAAAGAAGGCTGCATCAAATTAAAATTTAAAAAAAATTGTGAACTCAACTTGGGAATGCGAGTAAATGACCAAACAAATTCCTCCTAAATTGACAGTTTCTTTGACATCAAAAGGTACAAGCTCACCTGCAGTTACAACCATTTTGCACTTGGCATCTTTCATACGCTCAGCAAGGGAATCCTTGGAGAATCCTGCAAACTGTAGGATGAAATCACACTCAGAACTTGACACCAATGTTTCGACTTTACCATCTGTTGTGCAAACACTCTGCTTGAAACCCTCTATCCTGCAAAAATTTGGCTTACACGCTATATGCTACTAAAATTCTGCTGCACACTTATCCTAAACAAATTCCACTTACACCCTATATATGTTACCAAACATTTTACGCCCTTTATATTACAGTTCTTATGCCCCATGCAGTGTAAAATTTCTGCTGCTACCCTCTATATCTTAAAAATATTCTGCCATCACCCTCCTTTACACTGGAATACTTCTGCTTACACCGTCTAAGCAACAAATGTTTTGACACCACCTTCTATCCTAGAAAACATATTCCACCATATCCTCTTTCCTGAAAAAAAGAATGCTGCTTGCACCGTCTATAGCATGAAAGGTCTGCTATCACCCCATATGCTAACAGAATTCTGCTTACACCTCTATGCTACAAAACTTCTTACACCTTCTATAGTGCAAAACTTCTATGGCACAAAAATTCAGCAGCCTAGTTTCCTATAAAGTATCATAAAAACACGAATTCCACAAATTGTGATCGCAGAGTGTAAGAAAAGCCTCGCTTACGACGATCGAATGTACAATTCCAAGACGCGTGCACGCCAACATGGCGACGACAAGCTCCGGAATCATGGGCATGTAAAGTGCTACTGTGTCCTCTCTCTTCAAGCCTGAAAAGACAATAAATTATGTTTATCAGTTGGTCATCTACTCTACGGTATCTGGGGAAGTCCCAACTTGCAGACCGGGCGGACCCGTGAAACTGTAAATATGTGACCTTCATCAATGCCCGATTCGCTGACAGCAAAGAGACCCCTGTTACAGCTACTTTTTTGGGCCGACCACGTGACATACCGTCATATCCCGTGAGATGGCCCACCAGAACTGTGGAGCAAATTGGGTGGGAATAAGGAGTAAGCTAACTTTCGGTGTGCAACCAAGAAAAGATGAGAAAATGCTATTTTTAGGTTGTGTGTCCCCGGCAAACTCGTTATTGCTGCAAAGTGCAATGAACCAAAGATCTTCCCCGCACTTCCCCGTCAGCAAAGTTCACTTATATTCCGCCATAGATAACTAGCCGCATCTATGTCAAAGCCATCAGTGATTTTAACACTATGATTACTAGAAGTAAGCTATCTTTCAGTCTTTAAAAAATAGCAAATCGAGCCAGAAATGCACGTGGGTTATCTTTCGGGCATGGGGCATCTCTCGGGATGTCGCGGTAAGCATATTTTTGCCGGTACACTTGCGCCATCTATTAGATAGCACTGGAACCCTACTTTCGTTTCCATGAAACATAAATCAATGGGACAAAAAATTAATGATTACACTAGTAATTTAAGAACTCGGCATTTGGTTGGGGAAGAAAAGGTTCACGATCAGCTAAGAATTAGTTCTAGGAGTTATATCACGTTTGACCAAGCATTTCAAAAAGCCCCATTGCTTGATACATCTTTAGTTACTTAGGCTTCAAGGCTCGAATTTGCTTCTGTGATTTGGAATTCAGTATTTAACTCAGGCCTTGATCATGAAATGTGTGCAAAAAAGATTTCTTTGAATTGTTTATGATAGATGGATTGGACAATGCATGTAATATGACTATGAATGCTAGATTTTCACTGAAGCTTCTAGCCCACAGAACTGTCCATGACTTGGTATTCCTACATAAGAGCATTAATGGTGTCATTGAATGGTGTCATTGATTCTTCAAGACTTATTAGTAAAATCCATTTTCATGTTCCTTTCCGCACTACAAAACAGTCCACCTGTTTTGATATTTGTTCACCATGCAGCGTGTCACCTCTTTCTTGTTTACAGACATCATACAACAGGCTGTTCCACTTCAAGTTGACATCACCACACCCCTTTCTACATATTGCTGTCAGTGCGACAAACTTTTGGCCACCTCATAGTGAGTCAGTGTATATCAATATTTATCTTTAATATGAGTAGGATTATTGTTCAAGGGTTTCCATTTGTACGAGTTGGTGCACCTAACAGAAGGCCACCTGGCCGTTTTGAGGCACCCAAAATATAAAGATTATTATTAAGAGTCTGTTGACACAATTTCAGCTTCCAAGCTCTCCGAGAAAAAAAGCGCAAGTATGTACACCTAGAATGTACTTCGAATACTTTACAGGTGCAATTAAAATGTGCTGTAATTTACTACTCATACAAAGTATATAGGCTTATGAGAAATCAACGTTTAAACAGCCAGATTGTGACGTAGTGTGTATCACATAACTTTACACTCTATCACACCTTTGCACCAATAAACTCCAATAAAGCAATCAATCCATCCACTTTTCATTTTACATACCTTTGCTCTTCAGAACGTTGGCAAACTGGCAGACCTCGTCAAGAAGCTGCTGGTAAGTTATTGTCCGTGTGTCATCAGGATCATTTCCTTCCCTAATAAAAAAAAACATCAGTAGTTTGTTTGTTTGTTTGTTTTTTATAAATATTGCAATACAAGTAAATACAGTGATTCTTCATTTGACATTTTCCCAGAAAATAGTGATTTACGAAGTATTTAAAACACTCGCACGCTTTTTCCCATCACTCCAAAAACTCAAGAATTTATAAAGGAAACTTGCATCTACTTGTTTTCAGAACTTCAGTTTACATATGCCTAAATTCATATTCTATATATCCAAGTAAGGCATGCCTTGTATTAGTATTACTTCTGTATCATTTGTGCTTGTTGATTCACTTAGTTGGTTTTAGATTTGTACATAAAAGAAGTTATTGAAACCAGAGTTGTTTTTCTGTTGTTTTTTTTATTGTAATTCTTATATATATATATATAGAGAGAGAGAGAGAGAAATGTGCATTATTCTTTTGCTCAGGCAGTCATTTGTGGTTTGAAAACAAATATTGTCACCCTGGATCATTGAACCATAGCACTGAACGAAGGCTTACTCGTACATGCACACGGCAGGAAAGCGCCTCCTCGCATCAAGAGTCGACGAAATTACCCCACATGCTACTCGCTGATTGGTTCGTGAAGTATGACGTCAGAGAATATAAGGCTGCCCAGGTTTCGGTTTTGATTTGCGTTCTGGGTCACCGCCGAATCAGTTTTTCCGAAGGTCATATATTGTTGCTTATTAATTTATTCTTAAAAAACGCGTATCGTTTAAATCCCATCAGACTGACGTAAAAACTAAAATCAATCAACTTTTTTTTTTTTTTTTTTACAATAAAAAGAAAAATCTGCCACGTTGCATGATAGCGAACCCCATTTTGTTGTGGTAGTCCTCTGCATGATGTCAAATGGGGTTTCCTGCTCACGCACGTAAATGCAACTTCCTCCATTCTGTATAATACAGTAATAACGCCGAGCGTGCACCTATCTCAGCATAAACTGTTCTCGTGAGGTTGACGTAAAGAAACCACTCAATCCAAAATAAAAAAAAATTGAGCCGTGTGCCGAGAAAAAAAAAGTACTCAAATATTAACGAGCAAGAGCCGAGTATACGATTAAAATACCAAATGAATCGATGCACTGTGACGCTAGATAGCCAGGAGAAAGAAAAACCATTCGACCAACACTGGACAATCGAAACCGAAACCATCCTTGGACGGAGATTCGATGACTCTTGGGAGGTTTCCGTTATTGCGATTTTCCGAGTGCTTCGCGTGCATACTTAATACACGACTCGAATGTTCGATGAAGGCTATGCCTGACCAAATGACCGTCAAAAATTCCAGTTCTCACGTTTTCGGCGCCATTCAGGCACGTAGTAGCTTTTTACGGGCCGTCTAAATGAAATTGTCCGAACTTTTGACGAAAGACTAGCATATACTGGTAAACGTACACTAAACAAAGTGCACCGAGCTGACAAAAAAAAAAAAAAAAAAGTTTATTCGACGTTTCGCTTTTTATGCGGGAGGGATATCATCGGCTTGTGCATGCGGAGCAAATGCGTGCGCGATCTATCATAACACATCTCCCAGCTTCTGAAATATTTTCGCATAGACACACACAGAAAAATATACACATAAAAAAAAAGGCACCGACTTACCAATGGTACGCGGCGGTGCTGCCCAGACCCCTCTCGACATTTCTGTCGAGTAGGTTGTACGAGATGTTCGTCTTGGCTCCCTCCAGCCACCTAATGTAGACGGGTCCCTTGCGCACGTCGATGTTATAATCCACGAACTTGCCCTTGGGGCCCTGCTTCCAGTAAAAATCCTCGGCAATGTCCTTCCAGAACCCTTCGGGGTCCCGCAGAGATCTCTCATACATCTCTCGGTATTGGGCCATGCTCTTGACGTACGCGACGTCTCGAACCCTACTCGGCGGATTGAATAGGACATTGCTTTCGGATGGAGGCGAAACCTCTGCAGTGCCGGAGTCGTTCCTGTCGGTTTGGCCGTTCGTCGCACGCTCGTTGGTCATGGTTGCTCGCTGCTTCGGTGACGATCACGTTGTCTAGGTAGAGTCCGTATTCGAAAATGATGAGGGATGTTGACGTCTACACCGCCGCGACCTCGGAGAATATCCTGTGGTGTGCACGGCACGGCGCGGCGCGGCCAGCACGGAATCGATGCAGACGATGCGGTAGACGCACTGCTTTTGACCTTTTTTTTTCTACGTGACGTCGTCTGCTTCCTTTTATACCAAGGCGCCGTGGGGCTTCCTTGCGGCGGCGACGTGAAGCTCGTGAATCGATAAATAGGTTAAAACTCGTTTCATTTTTTTTTTTTTTTTTTTTTTTTGCGTATTGGTTGAGGGAGTTTACAAAGCTTTGTGCAGAGCTGATTTAATTATTAGTCGGTGTTTCAGCGGTATCACCTGGTATGCAAAGCGCAAGTTCATCTGCTTCTTCAAGTGTTGCGAATGGTTGATCGGAAAAAAAAAAAAAAGAATAGTGGGTAGACCTCATGGCATCTAGCATTGAGGTCTACCCACTACCCTTTCAATCAAAGCCAATCAGAGCTCGGCGTCGTTCTGACGTCACCGCAACTCCTGCGCGTGAAGCAGACGATTTTTCCTCCGCTTTATCTCTCAACTGTTGTTGTTGTTGTTGTTGTTGTTGTTGTTGCTGCTGTTGTTGTTGTTGTTGTTGTTGTTGTTGTTGTTGTTTTGCTTAGTTTGTGTTGGTGAGCTTTTGTACTTAACATTGTTTGCGGCATAGAGTTATTATAATGTATTGCGGGGTGATTTAGATCGGCGAATGTGACTACTATATTTGGTGTTTGTTGTGGATTTTCGTCGTTATAACACGAGGTTTGGATGGCTGCCTTCAAATGATTTCGGAAGATTCGCGCCATTGTAATGTGAGTTTTCTAGTTTTGTAAAGTATTTTTTGTTACTGTTCTCTTAATATAAATCTTCATGGGCTATTCGCATTCTACTGCTGCTAAGCGTTTAGTAAGTATTCTACCGATTTGCAAGAAAAAAAAATGCTTCGAGAAGTTACCTCTTTCGCAAACAAATTACGATGAGCATATATGTGTACAGCTTTGATTGTGTATCTACTGCACAGTTGTGATGCGCTCTTTTATTCTCTGTTTATTTATTTATTTCAGATTTATTTATTTAAAATGGCTCGGAGGCATATTTGGCATTACGTGAGGAAGAACCTTACATCTTGACAAGAAATGTGAACATAAATGGAGATGGAACCAATAAACGTGTGCGAAAAATAGATTGAAGAGCACGCACTGCACAACTTATCGACAGGAATAAAAATGATGAATATACTAAATAGAGTGAGAACTTTTGCAACAAATACAGGTATCGCGCCTGCAAGTATACATAAAAATATATTGATATCTCAAACATTCCTAAACAGAACCTGACATATTCTGTTCATTAAACAAAACGAAAAAGACACGTCATTTTGAATTATGCTCAAAATATGATTGCTAAGTCTGGGGCGAAAATATACGGGATCTGAAATGGAAGAAACAACGGCTTCGGGAAGATATCTTTCCAGGGTTTGATGGCGCGCGACATGGAAGGAATCATTAATTGCTAATGTTAACACGAACGCCAAGCTCTTTGTGTTAAAGTTACGCGATTCTCTAGTAAGGGGCTCTCGAAACGTGAGAAGCCTGTTCGAGTGGAGCTGTTGCATAATCCGTGATTTGTGTAGCAACTGAACCATTTCAGGTTTTTCGACAGGTTACAATATCTATGAGGAAGAGCACATCGTAAACTCCATACACATTCCAACAGGTTGATTACGAAAGACACTAGTTTATGTGTGTCTATGTGTGTGTGCGTCTGTGTGTGCATGTGGGGGGTTAAATGTGTGTGTGGCTACACAAAAAAAAAAAAAATCCAAGAAATTGGGAATTCTTTTTTTCGTCATGGAATGGTGTGTAACGCAAGCCCAAAGCAAGTTTGCACCATGTGGCTTTCTAGAGAAGAAACATAGCCCCGGTAAATTTACCCGGAAATCATATTTGTGTTTAACTCTGCCCTAATTTGGAAACTCAGTTGATGAATAAGTTTAAAACACGCTACACACTTAACTTTTTTACACCCTTTAAGGGTGCTACAGCACCCTTTAGGGGTGCTGCAGGGGGTTTGCACCCTTCACTTAGCCGTCCAGCACCCTTTTTCTTGCAGGGTTAGCACCCCTCACGACGAGCGCGAGGGTGTATGAGCGCGAGCACCCTTCCGATTCATTGTGAGGGGTGCTAAGAGTTGGAAGGGTGTTGGAAGGGTGCTCAGTTATTCGGTCAAGGGTGTTCTTTATATTTAACAGCATAATTTAGAAAAAGAAGGAAGCGATAGATATCTGTATGTCGTCTTCAGTTTATATAACTGGACTCAGCGTACATTAGATGAATTAATGAACCACAGTATATTTTTCTATTAATTTTGTTTTTATTTATGACTAATCAACCAAAATCTGTTACTCCGAAAATCCGATTGGCATCTGTTTCAAATTACGACCAGCAAAAATAAAGCTCAATCAATCAATCAATCAACTAATATTTACTGCAGAGTTAAGGAAGAACCACTGGACTTCACGCTGGCATAGTTCAATAATAACAATAAAAATAAAATCATTTATTGTTTTTTGCAGTGCCCAGGGACATCCAATAGACCGATCCCACAGCAAGTTTGAGTACGCCACCGCTGCCGACATGCATCGTGGGAGCTGTAGTCTTTCCGCACACGCGACAACTCTGCTAGAGGTCTGCGCGAGCAGACAGAGCGAGCAGAGCACGAGGCGGCATGAGCTATCTCGTGAATTGGCGTCTGCCTCCTACGAACTACAGCTATGGCAGAGTCACGCATGCGTGGAACGCTTGGTGAGATCGGTCTATTGGTCTTCTTGCTAGCGTAGTTCAATAGAACGCATAAACAGATATGCTTGCGCGCGCGCACACACACATACACGCGCGCACGCAAGTATGTAGACGCACAAACGCACGCAGACGCAGACGCACGCACAAACAACCACGCGGACGTATCCACACGCGCACACGAACACGGGCGCATGCACGCACACACGCACACACGCACGCACGGAAATGCATACGACAAACGAAACGTGCTTGAGCTATAGTTTCGGTTTCGTGTTGAAAAAGAAAACCTAAAGTTTAGATAACACCTAAGATATACAAAATTTTTGTTAACTTTTTACAACATTATAGTGACACTATTAATAGTGATATAATAGTTATTTGCTTAGTTTCGTTTTCAAGAAAAAGAAGAGCCTTTTGAAGACTGCGCAAGGACCATCGCTATTGCACTCAGCTGCCGTTGACCGTTCTGGGCTACGGAAGCTTCGCGGATCGCTTCCTTTTTACGTTTTAGCCGTTTTCGCAGATATTTTAGATATCTTCCTTACGAATAACGTGTTCAAACATAGCAAGCGAGGACTGAGACCTGGGAGACGCTGCGTTACCAACGCAAGTTGCGGACAGTCCATCAACACTGCTGCAAACGCCGGTGAGCACTTCTGTTTCTGCGAACTGCGTCGCTATTTCAAACTCTCGTGTACCATGGGCTTGCTAAGCTATGCTTGATTCTAACGATGCTTCTGGCCGGTGTTATTTCGTTATTTGAAAAGAGCGTACGTTGTTCAAAACCTATGGCTTTCTGCGCAGGGTGAGAGAGATTCGTGTGCGGCGGAGCCGAGAGGCTGTTCTGGGCGCCGTTCTGGGCGCGGTTCTACGACGTTCGTCCGACGACGCTTTTGCGGAGCGTTCAAGTGCAGTCTGACGGCAGTCCAGGCAATCACAGGTCATGCTAGTCCTGCCGTGTGGTCTCAACAGCCGCTCGCCACCGATTCGTTTCGTAAAGCGGGAGCGAGAAAAAACGTTACAAGAGCGAGCAGCATGATTTCTTGCCTATGCTTATGCCTGTGCCGCAGAGACGCGCTGTCTCTTGGCGTATGCCGAAGCGGCACGCTTTCGAAGTTTACGATTGTGCGATGTAAATAAAGTGAGTTTGGACGTCGCGTTTTTACGGGGGCAGCGAAAGCCGCTACAAAAAGCAAGAGTATGAAAAAATGCGAAATGATCCTGAATATTCGATGGTGTTGAAAGACTACCAACGTACCGACCCGCCCAGTTATTCTTTCTGTAAAAAAATTATAGCCAATAGTAATAAATGAAATAAATACCAACTTTTAATTGGTTATAAATCATGTGTAATTCATGCAGTACAGCCTTCCCTGCTCTGTTGCTTTCATGATATCAGGTAATGTGTAAATGTATAGGATAGTTCACAGGAACAATTTATGCCCGACCCATTATATTGTATGTTTTCTCTAAATGCTTGAAGTTATATAAAAAATGGTCATCGTAAATTAAGCCGCACCACTGAATGTACAATAGCTTGTGACTTTTATGTATGTTCCCAGCAAAAGAAAAAGATGCATTCAAAAAGGGCCAATTATTGCGTTTCCTCTCTGTTAAAGCTTTTTTCAGGTACACTCAAAACGTGGGTGTCTACGTCTAAAAGAGTGGAATTGACATTTCCCGCAGGGCTGGCAGGCCTGACTCAGTTTGGCTGGCAGCTTGCAACCTATGGGAACCTGGAGAACTGCACCACAAGAGTGAGAGTGACGCCCACCCTGCACTTCCTATACGATGGCACCATAAGGAAGAGGGAGCTGCCCCCAAAGTGAATGCAATGGCAGGTGGGTCGTTACAGTGAACCCCCATACAGATGATACCAAACAGAAAATCATTAAAAATAAATTATTATTAGAAACAAAGAATGGGAGTCGCACAGACAAGGAGGAGGAGATGAACACAGTGCTGTGTCATGTCCATATGCTTTGTTCCCATATTCTTCACAATTTATTTTTAATAATTGCCTACCAACTGGTCCAATCATCAGCACTAGCCAACAAGAGTATGCTGCTATTTTTTACTCTGCATTAACACTGTGCTTACAGTTAAATCCTACAGTAATGAACAAACAAAAAAATGGGAGCAAGCCAGGCACGTAACCAAAATCTTGATTCGGCGGCACCCATGACAAAATGCTGTATGAGGGGGATGGGGTAGAAGAGGCCCCAGCAAAATGGAAGACTTTGGGGAGGGGGGGGGGGGGGGGAGCGGAGAGGGTATGGGCTTTCGTTATCTTTTGAGTAGGACAGGCGCTGGCAATGCCT